ACGATTTTCCTTATGAGAGACTCATGGCTTAGTTAGAAAAGATGGTTGAACGATCTTTAATATATAATGAGACTGAAACAAAAGAAGTCGTGGAAGCGATCTTTACTGAATCCATACTACCATGGTATGCTGACTTTGTCAACTACTTAGCAGTTGGAGTTTTTCCACCAGAGTTAACTTACCAACAAAAGAAAAATTTCTTCCACGATCTTAAACACTATTATTGGGATGAACCTCTGCTTTTCAAGAGAGGTGCCGAAGGTATCTTCCGTCGATGTATTCCCGAAGACGATGTTGAAAATATAATCTCTCACCTTCATTTTGCTCCCTATGGAGGACATGCGAGCACTTCAAAGACCTACATGTTTTGGCCTGAGATCTTGGGTAACCGTCTCCACTAACAACTATAAAAGCCACATACGGTTTTGGAGTAGGGGGAGCCACTTTTGATTTCTGTTCTTGTATTATTTTTCTTCAGCAGTTTTTGTTCTTAGTTTTTAGGCAGTTTTTACAGGGATTTTGTATAAGGCAATTGTTTTTCACACTGATAAACAATTTCCAGTTAGTATTAGGATTGATTTACGGGTTGTAACTTTGTACTGAACTGCATGCCGGCCTCCATAATCCAATCCAAGTGTTTTTCTGTTCTTTGTAACTGCCATGTTCCATTTATTTACTTTTATTGTTATTGTTATTTTTATGTATCCCTTTTATTTTCTATCTAGAATTAAGATTAGATTTATTAATATCATGCAAGCCATGTCTGGCTAAACCTTTTAATATCAGTATGTAATTACGATCGTTCGGAAGGGGTTAAGTAAATCATGGCGTGAATTTAACAAATATATTCTTCTGGTTTCGGTTTCTTTTTAATAACTTAATAACTTTTTTTACGAGAGTAAAAAGGTAAAAAAGGTTAAGATCTATAAAGCGAGAGTTTGAGGTCTTAACCGGATAGATGAAACTGAACATTAGTCTTAAATACAGCGAGAGCGCTTTAGGGTTAATTAGGACATACTTATTTTCAAAAAGTGTTTTTAAATACAAATGAGAGAGTGAGAGCCTTCATTCTGATTTGAGAGTATAATCTAAGTCAATAAACACGAGAGTGTGAGATAAAGTATTTTAAATGATTATTTTCTACAGAATAACAATTTTTCCTTTTAAACTAAACGCCCATGAAATGCTGAACCCTCGATGATTGATAGAATTATATACCGATATTTCACATTATCTTGGTTTAAATTATATTTCAATTTGCTCTTATTTCCTTACTCATTTCCCAAATTTTGAAATCCATTAGCCTTAGATTTACGTAGTAGCTTTAGATAACGGTAGATCGATTCTTGGTCCTTTGAGTTCGATAATCTTTAAAACTACGCGATCCGACTGTGCACTTGCAGTGACGAATCATTTAGACATACTAAGTCGCGATCAAGTTAGAAGTTATATGGTGAGATGCACCTGAGTCTGCAAATCATGCTCGAGACTCTAGTCCTTGCGGTAGTTGCAGTTGTCCTTGTGAGCAAGATATGCATTTACTGGTGGAGCTAATGTATCTTGATTCTTGATTCTTTCTTGAGCATGATTTGTGTTGGTGGAGGTAGTGGCTTGAGCTTGAGATTTTGATGTCGTAGGTTCAAAGTATTCATCAACCTTATGCTAACAATCCATCAATACATACCCATACTTGTTACAAATTTGACATGTTAGACGATTTCTAGTTGTGTAGTTTGATCTGCTTCGACCTCTTCCTTTAGTAAGTTTCTCTCTACCACGTTAGTAATGACTTAAGCCTCCTAAATTAGCAAGTCTGGAAGATAGAGTATGAACTACAACTTAAACAATATTGGACGTGACACTAGGGGCATTAAGTTCTTGACGATATTTGTGAAGTTGGGCTTTTCGAACATACAAGAAATCTTGCACTTCATAGACGTCCATTGAATTAGTCTTACTATATACAATCATGATGAAGGGATTCTACTCTTCAAGAAGTACTTGAATTATTGAATCAAATTGATCACGCTTCAACATTTGATCTCCAAAAGCCATGAGTGAATCTATAATAGCTCTGATGTAAAGAACAATTTCTGAGATTGTTTTGGTTCCTTTTTTGCTCATCTTTAACTCTATACAAAGTTGATGAATATGTGATTTCATCTGAGCATTGTAATGCTTGTGTATTTTATCCCAAACCTCATATGCATGTTTGCATGAGAGTACTCTAGGATGCACAAATTAATAGATTGTTGATAACAATCAAGTGAACAAGACTTGGTCTTGCATGATCCATTCCTCATAAGCATTAGATACAATGTTTTCAATACGATCATTTTCAGTCTTGAACATTGATAAAATTCGAGGGGTTACAACAATCTAGTGGAGTTAGTGTGATAGAATTACACCCCAGTCTGTTGATTCCATAACAAAAATTTTCTTTCTTGAAGTGTAATCGAGAGTTTTGGAGAAACATGTTTGTTAAACCTATAGATGACATGACTTTTGATGTAGCTTGTGAGGTATGATCTTCATGTTTCACACCTTGTGGTGAATTTTTTATATTCTTCATTGTTGGTTCTTTGAATTCTAATGGAGATCTGATATAAATGTTGAAAAGGAAGCTTCTTTGAAGCTTTGATCAATGCAATTTGGTTGCAATTCTTTCCTGCAACCATAACTTCAGTTTCTTTGAAACTAAAATCAAGGATGAATACCGATCTCAATTCTTGACTGTAAATAGGAGCTAAGTTTCTCTGAACTACAACCTCCTTGTTGAACAGGATGAAGAAGAAGATCTTAGTTTCTCTAAAACTGAAGATCCTTTCTACGCAATATGAAAAAGAGAATGAAAGTTTAAAAACGAGAATGATACACCGATTTTTTTATGATCCCCTTAAACATGTGATACAATGTTTGATGAGAAAACTCTCGTAATTGGATGAATGTATTCATTGTGAACAATAATGTGAGAGAGGTAAAGCTTATCTTGTTGAATAATTATTTTTCATTTATGAGTGAAGCCTATAGCTTTTATATTTATACACAACATACAAAAAGTATAAACTAATTATGCTTTTTAACTTCCATAACTAACTTCCTAAGCACCTATTATTTTAACTAACTAACTAACTAACTTGTCTCTAATATGAGAGTTAACAAAATAGTTTTAATAGTTAAAATTTTGATAAAAAGATAAAGAAAATTTGATAAAATTAACCCACCTTGGATTTGAACTCAAATTCTTTAAAAAGACTGTTTTTTTAAACAAAATCAATAAAAAAGCCATGAAATATTATGATTCACCCTGTCATTAGAGATTACACAAAATAAAAGATAAGATATTAATAAATATATTTTAATTTAACGAGAGATCTTAAATTTGAATTTAAAACTCATATATAAATATGCATATATATTAAATTAAAAAAAAAAAAAAAAGAGTTTTATTGTTTGTTATCATCCTCTTCAAATTATGGGTAGAAAGTACTCGATTGTTACAGCAAATAAAAAAAGAGATACTGCCTCTACTTTTTATTATAAGTTATTTTGAGAAAATATTTTGTATTATATAAGTCGTTTTATAATACTAATAAATTATTAATGTTATTTTCTTATTATATTCTTAAATATTTAATATTATCTTTTTTTATAATTATGTAAATTTATCTTTTCAATATCATTAATAAAGGACAATTTCGTAAAATTTTTTATAATTTTTCTTTCTTATATCACAATTATAACATTTTTTAATACGTGTGAAAAGTTAAAAACGACTTATAATAAAAAGTAAAGAGAGCAGTAAATAATTGTTATTTGACAAAAAAAAAAACCAATTATTTTAAAACTATATTTTAAATAGTTCACTTTAAAAGGAAAATTTTAAAATTATAATACTTGATCATATTCAGACAAAGTTGGAAAATTCAAGAATGATTGGCTAGTGACAATAAACTCTTAATTTTAATAGGTCAACTTGCAACTATGGAAGACAAAGTCCACATTGTAATAGCTGACATATTTTTTTGGTGAATCTTACAATGCCGTATTTGGCCACCTCCATACAAACACAAAAGTACTAGTATTTTCTAAATTCCAAAACTTTGATTGAATTAAAGAATTAATTGATGTGTAATTGTGTATACAAATCATATGCATATTCTTTGTTTTTCGATCTATTTATCTAATCAACAAAATTTCATTTTTTTTAATGAGATATTGCAAGTTCAACTTTTGTAATTAGATATTTATATCGATATTAGTTGAGTTGAATTAACAAGACTAAAATAATCATATCTTGATCAATATTAAATATTTTATATTTTTATGATTAAAAAAAGTTATTTAATAAGAGAACAACACATTGCAAACACACATGAAAGAATTTTTTTTCCAAAAAATTGCAAATAAAAATTAGAGTTCTTTTCAATTTTAATTATAAACCAAGACCATGAAATTTGCAATAACTACCTACAAATGTTACATAAATAATCTTGTAAATAAAAAATAGTTTTAATGATATATAGAGATATATTTGAAGTGAAAAATCTTAAATATGTCTTAGATTTTTATTTCTAAAGCACCTAAAGTTTCAAAACATAACTAAAATGCTTCAACATCCAAAGTTTCAAAAAGAATATTAATTTATATTTTAATACTAAAATACTTTATGGTCATTAACATTATATCATTAAAATTAGTAAATTTATTATTTTTTTTTTGGTATTTTTATACTATAGTTTTATCAATTTACTTTTTGTATTCCATTAATTTTTTCTCTACAATAATAATTAAAAATATATTGACACAAAAATATTTAATAGTACATTCACTTTAGAAATAACATCTAAATAATATATATATTTCATTGCTTTCTGTGCATGTGCACTTTTTCTTATATGCCGGTTGGCAGAAAAATAAAATATTTATAAACTACTAATACATATAAACAACACTTATCTTTAACCTCAAAAAAACAGAAAATAAACCTTAAAAAAACTATGGATATCCTTAACCAAAATGAATCATCAGAAACTTGTCCTCAACAATGTTGTTGCACAACCTCAATTTTCACCTCACCAAATTCCCAAACCACAAAATCACCAAAACACAGAAACAGTTCATCAGAATGTCGTCACACTTTTGCATCCTCAACAACATCCTTAATCTTTCCAAACACTCATTTCACCAACCATGAATCTCTTCCATCTCTTCAAGAATCATTCATTGAATTCAACAAGGTTTATCCTCAATACTCCGAGACAGAACAGGTTGATCATGTAAGAGCTAAGGAATATTCTCATCTTTCTTTTTCTAATCATACTTGTCTTGATTATATCGGTATTGGTCTTTTCTCTTACTCTCAAATGCAACATCATGTTCTTGATTCGTCGAAAACCAAACTTTCGGTTCATCAAAAGACACAAGATTATTCACCTCGGTTTACTGATATGCATATGCCTTTCTTTAGTATCTCCTGCAAAACTGGATTTTTGAAGACTTTGCTTCTTCATGGTGGAAAAGATTCCGAATTCGAGTCTGCAATGAGAAAAAGAATCATGAATTACCTTAATATATCGGAAAATGATTACTACATGGTTTTTACAGCTAATAGAACATCAGCTTTCAAACTTGTAGCAGATTGTTATAATTTCCAAAAGAGTAGAAAGCTTTTAACAGTTTATGACCACGAGAGTGAAGCGATTGAAGCAATGATTAGTTCGTCGGAGAAACGAGGAGCGAAAACTATGTCTGCTGAGTTTTCATGGCCAAGGCTAAGAATTCAATCAACAAAGTTGAGGAAAATGCTTGTGAGAAAAAGAAAGAATAAGAAGAACAAGAAGGGTCTTTTTGTTTTGCCGCTTCATTCGAGAGTAACGGGATCGAGGTATCCTTATATATGGATTAGTATAGCACAAGAGAATGGTTGGAATGTTTTGGTTGATGCTTGTGCATTAGGATCAAAGGACATGGATTGTTTTGGTCTTTCGCTTTTTCAGCCTGATTTTCTTATCTGTTCTTGTTATAAAGTTTTCGGCGAAAACCCTTCTGGATTCGGTTGCCTTTTCATCAAGAAAACTTCCATTTTCATGTTGGAAACAAATTCGTCTGTCGGAATAGTAAATCTTGTACCAGAAAAAAATCGACAAGAAGAAGAACCATTTTATTTGACATCTTTATCTGCAAAATTTGAGAAAGGTGAAGCATCTGAAATTAAGATCATAGATCCACATGAAGAGTCAAAACCATCACAAAGGTTCGAAATCGAAGAAGTGGATGATAAGAAAGTTGAAATCCTTCAACATGGTGTTAAAGAAAGTGAAAAAAACGAAAACTTTGATATTGAATGCAAGTGTTTAGACCAAGTTGATTCTTTAGGATTGATATTGATTAACGATCGGGCGAGGTATTTGATTAACTGGTTGGTGAATTCGATGTCAAAGCTTAAGCATCCTAACACAGAAGGTGTTCCTCTAGTGAAGATTTACGGTCCAAAAGTTAAATTCGATAGAGGGCCTGCAATTGCGTTCAATGTATTTGATTGGAAAGGCGAAAAAGTTGAACCTGTTCTTATTCAAAAGCTTGCTGATAGAAGCAGTATTTCGATTAGCTTTGGATTGTTGCATCATATATGGTTTGCGGATAAGTATGGAGATGAAAAGGGGAGGGTTCTAAAGGATAAAAAGAAGAAAGATGAAGAAAAAGATGGAATAAGTGTTGTTACTGCTGCATTGGGCTTTTTGGCGAACTTTGAAGATGTGTATAAGCTTTGGTGTTTTGTTGCTAGGTTTCTTGATGCAGATTTTGTTGAGAAGGAGAGGTGGAGATATACTGCTCTCAATCAGAAAACAGTTGAAGTTTAAATCAGTGTTTTCAAATAGAGACGCTATACCACTATTGTTCCACGATACGCTATTTTCTCTGGTTTAAGTTCTATTATGTTTCATTCATTCTTTTGGATTGTTTGTCTTAGGGGAGTTTATAGAGTTTGAATTTTGATGAAATTTCATGTATCAGGAAATTTGATTCTTGAAGGATCATATTCATTCATTTGTTTAATGAGATCAGAAAATATGTTGATTTGTTGATTATTGTTCAATTCAGAACTAGAAATGATTGATGAGGTAATGCCAGATCCATAATAACTAAACAATTATCACAAGCAAATTGATGGACCCTTAGCAAGGTTTTGGTTATACTTCTAGAATATCATTCGCTGGAGTTTTATTCAAAGACGCCATAAAATCTATCCGAACTTCTAATACCATATTAGACTTCTAACATTGTGATTTGAAGTAATTTATAAACGAAAAAAATTTAGATCAAAGTTATGAGCTGAATCCTGAATCTTAACTTCTCTTTTTTGACAGAGTATAGGCTTGTTGCAGTGAACTTCTCATTAGTCAATCTTTTAATATAGCCACATCATAATGCAGTCTGTAATCTGATATCATTACTATGTCATGCAACATTTTTTTAGATTGAAAGTGATGAATAACTTGATGTTAATATCCAACTTGTACCTAAATCATTTAAGTTTGAAAGATGATGATAACCAAACTAGTTTCAGGAACACATCTTAGATGCTAAAATGGGTGTAAATCTAAGTACTCATAGTTTAACAAGTAAATTAATTTGCCAATCACTTATTTCATTCTATGCTACATTTATTTGCTTGAGGTTGGCTATGTAATGTGCTCGTGTGTTTGGTGTGACATAGGGATGACAATTGGTGTTCATGGCACGTGTACTAATCCCTTGCTATTTAATAAAATATGATATGAGAATTTTTTTTCCATTCTATGCACTTTTTACCTTCTATGTGGAGTTATCATTATACTTTTAGATTTCAAAGATATATCTCCGAATGCACCCTATTACGGAGTAAACATTAACATATTTCGAAGATATATTTTCAGAACTATTTAAATCTTAAACGCTCACAACATATCTTCAATAACCCATTTTCATTTGAATATTTCCGAAGATGTATCTACGGGTTTTTTTCAGAGATACATCTTTGAAGTGTATCAGAACAATTTTTTTATAATGAGCTGTGTATTTGTTTTCAGATGAATTATGAAGAACAATATCCAATAAAATAACTGACATATAAGAGAATATAACAATATAATAGTAAAATGCCGTACAACACCAAATCCAAAATATAGTACCAATGTCAAGAAAATGAACAAACTAGTAATACGTCAAAATAATAACAGGCTCCTACTGGGTGTGCCTGACAACCTCTCCTCCACCTCTTGTGCCTTATCTCCTTGGTTTGCCTGGTCTGCCTCCTCGGCCATCAATCCCTTCTGTCCTCGCACGATGTATGTTGTACAATAGTGCTCCCCGTGCCTCTGCAACCATGGCATCTAGTACTCGCCCCACAACAGACCTCTCAAGGAAGATATCCTCGTCAATGCTTGTCTGTGCAATATCCACTCTGCGGCGACACTGAGGAAAGACATTCTCAATATGATCTAGCTGAGCTTGCTGCTCCTCTAGAATCTCCTGATGAGCTGGTCTCGGTGGATCTCTTAGAGCAGTCAGTACCATGTACAAATGTGAGACTGTGAAGAACTACCTAATGTATCCGTCCACGTAGCTCCAGTCATTCGGCGTTATAGTATCCCGAGCCTCATCCTGTACCAGATGACTCTGATAATCAGCAAACATCTCATCTATTTTTATACGAGTCAAGGCAGAAGGAGCAGAGACATCAGGGTGTCTGGGGATGGTTTGGGTGTACCCGAACTACCGCATGACGCGCTCGGACGGATGAAGAGGTGTGATACGCGATTCGCAGACCAGCCATTTGGAGTTTAGTGATATGTCGTCAAATGAACATGTATGACGATGATCAATGTAGCAGTTGAAGTCACTACTAAAAAACACACAAACAACAACGCCAAGTTTACAACGGATTCATATACACTGTTGTAATGAGTTAACATTTTCGCACCCAGTGAGTAGTTGGTTTTATAAATAGTAATTTAATGATGGTTGTCTTAAAACACCGTAGTAATAAATGATGTGTAGCAAGCTTCGATTCCCAGCAACTAAATTATTTCCATTTTTTAGAGTACATTAAGCGTGTGTCACTTAGCTCCATTATTTAAAAAATAAATTGTAAATGATTTTACAACGGTGAAGTAAACCAACTGTTGTTAGAGGATATTAAGCATGTGTCACTTAAGTCCATTATTTAAAAAATAAGTTGTAAATGACTTTACAACGTTGAAGTAAACCAACCGTTGTTAGAGGACTTACAATTCCACTACGGTTGGGTTGTCCAACCGCGATTAAAGGTTTTACTGATAAATTAAAACAAAACATATTATGTATTTCTTTCATAAGATGCCTTAGGCGAACAAGCGATCCAGAAAGACATCGGTGGCGTAATCTTTACCCTATTTGTATCCATTCATTTGAAGCTCAAATCTTCACCCTCTTCGTTCATTTGATTCTTTAGCTTCGAAGTACGGTACTCTTCAAAATCTTAATTCCTTTTTTCTTAGTTTATGTTGTATATGCTCAAATATTCACCATCTTCGTTCATTTGATTATTCAGCTTCGAAGTACGGTACTCTTCTACATCTTTATTTCTTACGTGCATAAGATTCATCAGCTTCGAAGTACAGGATTTTTCAACATCTTCATTCCTTTTTTCTTTGTTTATATTGTATATGCTCAAGTTAGTATGAAAGTACATGTTTCATATGTTTTAGGTTTAGATTTGCATATGCATATGCTTAAGTTTTTGGATTAGATTTTGGTGTGTCATTCACATTATTATACGTGTGAGAAAACACAAGAAGGGGGGGGGGGGAATTGAATTGGGTTTTCAAAAATTAAAGCTTTTTGTGAAACTCAAACAAAGATCACAAATATACTAACAAGAGAGAAAGACACATGATATATCCCGGTTCACTTGAAAACTATCAAGCTAATCTAGTCCACCCACTAAGTTGATTTCTCCTTATACACAAGGACTAAATCCACTATAATCAACTAATTACAATTTGCACTAGCAACTGCTGGTGACTAACAACAAAAACTAATTGTCTCTTCTTAAGGATTCTGACCTAACTGGTCCCTTAAGGAATTACAAAAAAGTGTTTAAAAATAAATAAATATTTACAATGATTGCTTCTACACAAGCAGATATAAACACTATGAATATCACAAAATACTTAAAGAAAATTTTCACAATACGAATATTATTCTTGCGTTGTGTTGTATTGCTTCTATACTGTTCTTCTTTTTCTTCAAGTAATCAAGTCCTTATATAGCCAGTTAGAGATCCGTTGGAAGGCACACTAAGAATATCCTTGATTGAGCTGGCGACTTGAAAGAATGTCGTTACGCAGGGATGAAAATCATACACAAAAGTTATCCTTTATACCACCAAATCAGGGTAGTGGAATGAAACATTTTGATACGTACTATGTACTATTTTCCCTCGTAAACTTTTGATCTTATCTCCTGTACATCAGAGGCTTTTAAATAGAGATGATTGAAGCATGTGTACTATTGTAACCCAAAATTTTACCTCCACTTTTGTCTTTTGCATGTGCATTCACATCGCTGACATACACATTCACACTTTTTCTCTATGGGTTTTTGTTGCAGGAATATTCAAGTTTTCCATGCTTGATTAATCACATCTTCACAAACATATCACATCATCAATACCAGCAAAAAACAAGGGTTTCTATGCCTATTCATCAAAGCAGAAGGTCGAAAATTGGAGCCATGACCACTACACATTTTTTCAAGCAAATTGGGCAAGTTTTTCCTGGTTAATAGATTAACCATTTGCTAGTGCAAATGGGTTAATCGATTAACCTTTGTAAAAATGCAGTTTTTGCTGCATTTTCATGACAATAACTTTTCTCTCTACATTTTGGCGTCTATTTGGTTCTAGCATTGTGTGGAACATTCTAGACATTTTAAGACCATTCTAAACACTTCAAGGCATTTATTCTAATACATCATTTCCAATCAAGACTACCATGTAACTTCATTTGTGTTGCACCCTAAAATTTGCTCAACCTACTTCACTTGGTTTATGTTTCAATTGCATTAGCATTTGCATATAAAGTCATGTACATAGTCTAATCATCTGCATAGCATAGCATAGCAAGTCATCCAACAAGGGACCAAGTACTATGCTTATCTCTAGGAGCCTATCAAGAGGTTATTATTCAAATTCAATCTTAGCCAAGTCATCAGAAAGAAATTGAAATCTAAGAAGTCAGTGGACCAAGCAGTGAATCTATCTCCTATCTGAGGGTATTTGAAGATCATCAAAGAAGTTGTGAGCTGTGAATTGAGCATGGAGGGTATATAGACATCATGGAAGACATGGAGAGTCATTTTGAAAGTGAGACAAGTCATTGATGAGATTGCAAGAGCTGCAGTTGAAGACAGTCAACTAGGGTTTCATCTTGGTCAACCCTAGGTCAACCCTAGGTCAAATGATTGATAGAAGGGCATCAAGGCCTATTTGAAAGATGTGGGGTTCATCATTTGACATGTAGATATGAATGTGGTGTTGTGCCAAGGAGAAATCAAGAGAAATCAAGAAGAAGAGGAGTTTCTAAATTAGGGTTTCTGTGTAAAATCCCCTAATTTAGGTCAAACTTCCAAGCAAGATAATTCAAAATGCAAGCTTCAAATGGATCCTTGGCCAACATGAAACTTGTAGAGGATATCAATAACTTTAATTTGAGTGGTGGAAGACATCAAGGAGATTTATAAAACTCAAGTTATGGTCCTTGCAAGTTACAGGTCATCTGAGGCATCTGAAATTTTGTCTGTGAAAGTTACTTGTCTTCCAAGCAACCTTTACCCCTAA